TGAATTTACGCACCACTCTATCAGCTCCCGCCTGCAATGCGCAGCTACCTCCCCCTCCCCCCCAAATCATCGTGAACGAAATTGCGGCAGCTACAACCACTGTAGGACAAGATTGCAGTTAATACACCTGACAATGATGATGATGATGTGACTAAGAAAGCTTAGAGCTTAGAAACTTTCAAACCAAATAGTTGCGTGTCCCCTTAGCAGTCTGTTTATGAGCAGACAAGTGTTTTCAAAACCTCACAAGGACAGAAAAAGTTTCTATGGCGGGTGTCCACTGGTTTGTTAGTATAAAACTTATTAAAGTACCATTTGTGTGGCGTTCCTTATGTTGTTATCAGATGTTGACCTGTACTAATTAGATGAATCTTTATGTGCAATAACACGAATGTTTCCTTCTGCGATAGAAGCGGAAAGTTTGTATTTTAGGGGGTAATTAATATACAAGGATTGCAGCGATTACCTTCTCAGAGGTGACATTGGCTCCCCGGAACTTGTTCGCTCATACCGTCCAAGGATGTCCCCATGCTGAAAGGTGAGAGAAAACTGTAAAGTTTTCTCGGGTACAAAAGAAATTTTTTAGAGGAATCGGGAAGGGACGAATAAAATTAGACATTACCGTTTGGGTTTTAATTCTGAAGTTAAGTGGTTCAGGTCATCCTCTAAAAAGGCATTATGTTGCTAAATTAGGAATTTGCTACAAAGAATCTCGGTTGCCTTGGGTCTTGATCCTTTTAGTCAATGGGTTCGTGCTTTTATTTTCTGGTTTTCTATCATCCAGTTATCGGTAGGATAACAATCACGCTTCAGACATAAATTTGTCTCGGGCCGACATCTGTGTGACTGATTACCAAATGAAGCGTGTATGTTCTGAAAGATTATGACTATCGTGTGAGGTTTCCTGTTCGAGTAAACAACAGACACCAGATTGCTAACTGAACCCTAAACTATACGCCATAACCCTAATTACTGTACACTCATTTGTAGAGGTATCCAAGACGGGAAACGCAATTATTCCTTGCGATACAGATCAACGAACGCACTGATAGAAGCAACTGACATCATTCACCACCCTGCCACGTGGCTGAATGGTTTATAGCATTACATCCCCGAAGGAGGCTCCACTACGAATAAGAAATAATATCGTCCGTCAAAACGAGGAACTACAAAATATTTGAAGGGTTTTACCTTCAAATTTACACGATGTTAAGTGAGCAGAAGAGAATAGCGACTATCGCTGGAACATAGCCGTTTTTTCATCCTCCTGACTTCTTGTTTGCAGTGTGAAAAAGACGCCGAAACAAGCGTAATTCTCCTAGTGAGAGAGAAGTCCTATAAAGCGTCACTGCAATACATGTTAAAACCTTTTTCATTTCCGAGACAAGCAGCGCAGTAGCAAAGGCGCTGGACTTTTTCACGGTTGCGTGGCCCCCATTTGAGAATTTGCAGTTGATGTCATTGTGACTGGCTATTCAGCTAAGGAAGGAAAGGCTGCCTTTGACTGGTCTTGGTTTTAGGTTGAACAAGTTCCTCTAGTGTGTCCAAACTAGGTAGTGGTATAATGGACATTAACAACTTCCCAACTGCCCATATAACGGCTTGAGCACGAAAACTAGGACGGGGTCTGCAAAATCAATGGGGACATTGTCCTGCAAGATCAGAGTATACCGTTATACATAGCTTGCACTCTGGATGTGAAACCATGCTTCGCGGGTTAAATAATACCCCAAGTCGATGGATTGTTGGTTTGAATTGGAAGGGCAGATTATACTACCAGTGTGCAAGCGTGCGTATATTTATCATTTTCTCAGACAATGTGTAAACCCACAATAACAGTGACTGTCCATACAAACCTTGGCATTGTTTCAACCTCACAAATTAAAGGTTCCCAACATTTAGCACTATATTTAACAAGTTTTATTTTGTAAATTATCGCAGCTGAGGATTCAGCGACATTGTTATTCACGGGCCAGCGCCAAGAAGTGAGAATGCAGCAAGGGCAAAATTTGGATACGTCATAGTTTTTTACTGTCTAATTTTAACAGTTTTCCGTACAAACCACTAACGTTTCGTTGGAGGATTTCTGGTGTGCGTGTACATACAAGACTTCAATTTGAAGGCGCGATTCATTTCAGTATTTCCTGCCAGATTTCGGTGAAACTGGTGCAGTCGCACTCGGTGACTACCAGAAGGCATATATTAGGCATGGGCAACTGCCTGTCCATAAACAGGATGCACAACACATTATTGAATATAACAGTTAAATTGAGTTTTTATGGTGGATAGAGTATGGCGAGGAAACAGGGTGATAATGACACCTGCATTCTCTGGGATGTGCTAAGGCATGCGTACCAACTGAAAAAAAACTTTTTTCCATGCAAAACCAGTCAGTTCGGTAGACATGCTGCAACCCCGTAGAATGAGAAAAACAGATCTCAAGTTATTTACTAAAAATGTGTGAACTCGATGAAGAAGAGCAAAGATTTCCGAGAAATACACTCATTTGCAAATCAATTTGGTTTTCACGAGAGACTCAACTGAATCTCTAGTTTATGATATTCTACAACTGAAAGTGCTGTACACAGGCTGCCTCATGATTTAGTTGGCATGATATTAGAGATATCGCAGTATATTTTCACAGAGGAAACTACTGAGAAGGTTGTTGAAAACTCTTCGATAGCCCACGACCGGTTTCGCCCTTCTTGGGGTCCACCAGGTAGGCGCAGTACCTGAGTTTCCGTCAGTGTTATGCTCTACTTGAACCCAAATTAGATTGTTTTCGAGAAACAAATGGGAGATTCAGTCGTCTCTCGTGAAGACCAAATTGATTAGCGCATCAGTGTATTTCTCGAAAACAGTCCCATTCGGGTTCAATTAGAACATAAGGCTGACGGAAACTCGGGCACTGCGCCTACCTGATGAGTCCCAAGAAAAATGAAACCGGTCGTGGGCTGTCGAAGAGTTTTCAGCAACCTTGTGAGTAGTTTCATTATGAAAAGAGCAAACATTATTTAAAAGTGAAAGAACCGAATACTCGTCGTTTTGGTGTGGGTTATCTACTATTCTCTACACAAATTTTAACGGTCAGGTCGGTGTCTGGCACTACATAACGGGCGTCCGCTTTGCCTTGAAGTCGCTGACGGCCGGCTGAGCTCCACTCTCTGTAGGGGTTGCTTTTGTGCACAGCTTTTCGCAGCTTGGATTTATTACGCAAGCTCCAAGCGAGCATCGAAGCGACTTATGAAGCAGTCTATCGATCGAAATCTGTTCTAAGGATAGTGTACTAAGAACCACAGCCAGCTTCTCTGTGTACCTGCTGAAATAACTGAGCGACCATGTTTTCTGGCGGATACGTAATTTGGTTTGGTTGGCCAAAAAATATGGTTCCCAGTTGAGCCGCGACGCATATAATCGATTCCAATGATGTCATCTTTCGTGCGGATTTCGGAAGGTCACCTGACGTTTACGCAAATTTTACTGCCCATCACTACTGAGGTAGCAAACTTGACTCTTTTTAACGACAATTCATGCTTAAAAACATGATTATAGGTCAGAAAATGGTGGCTTCATGTATTGGATATCGTATTGGCTGTTCAATATAGAATTTTCTGGAGCGAGGAAGCAAACTTTTTAAAGTCTATACAGAATGGGGAATAGCCACATGTAAACGGACTGATCGGTTAATGAAAATAAGCAACATTCACGTTAACTCCAAGGTACCCTAAAAGCTGAGTCGAGTTTCTTCGGGATATAAACTGAGGGCTTGAATTGACTGATTACAGTGACCTCAGCGAATTGGAATGCACTTGAATTATGCGACTGAACACATTGCTTAACGCCGAGGTCAGGTTAACACGGTGGTGTGCAAGCAAAGGATACTTCTCAGCTGTTGACTACGTAAGCATACGGTTATTCGAATAATCCGAAATTCCGTCAGGACTCAAAGGGGAACCCGCTCCCTCTTCTTGATATTAAGAACCCAACATAGATGTGGAATTCTCAGTAGTTACGTTCAATGCGATCTACACTTGATATTTTCTCTGTAATAAATGAAGACAGTTGTAATCCTTAAATCAGATTTGGGGACGGGATTGCCGCAGCTTTGCGCACTTTTGTTGGAGCTGACACTAGACATCCACTTGTTAGAGAATGGCTTATTCCGTCTGATGGGAAGTCGGTGTAACTTCAGCCATTTAAGATGCACTGTGACATTTAGGAAGTTCTCGCTTCTCTTCAGTTTACCATTTGATGAATTATTCACCACGTCCGTTTTGATCCAGGGTACACGTTAGGAGCTCTATTTCAGCTTTAGTCAAAGGGGATGTACAAAGTAGAGGAGAACAGGATTGTGATAAGTTTGTGTTTCTGATGCAAATGATTAGGGCTTAGGCGAGACGCCAGGTTTGACACATCCGCTAGGCCTACCTATGCTGAGTTGTGTGCTGAAGAAGGAGATATTCATCAGTTTACTGTGAGATTCAAATGAATGCTTTTGAGAAGCTGGACGAACCGGTATCCCGCGGACACACAGCTTATGAAATACTGCTCTGGTATATAATCATTTAGCGCTCTCTCTATCTTGACCGCGAAAACATTTAGTGAACCCGGACGTATTTACATCATAGTCACTTCATCACAGTGTCTGTGGGATATGGATGTCTGCAACTAACGTTCTAAGTACACAGCACAAGAAAGTTCTTGAGAACATGCACCGGAATGTTAACTTGAACACTTTCTTAAATATTTTATTCACACAGCCAAGCAACGTTCTTACATAAGAAAGACATTGATAAATAGTGATTTTGCACCCACATTTAGCGTTTCCGAATGCTCTGATTGGTCCACCGAATATACAGCCATAGGTGTAAACTTTCTGACTAATTGGCTTTACGGTACTAATCAACCACCGCGTTAATTTGTTTCTGAGAACTACTCACAGGGTTTCCGAAAACTCTCGCCCATCTTGGGGCTTATAATCCTGGGAACTCTGTCTACTTGCTGTTCCCCAACAAGGTCAAAACCTGTCGTGGAGAGTCGAAGAGGGTTGNTCAGCAAACATATGAATTGTTTCCTTTATGAAAATATATTGTGATATCACGAATATCCTACCAAATGAAATATGAAGTGGCCTGATAAAACATATTCACTTAAAGGTTCAATCAATCAAACGGTTTGATGTGGCACCCTTCCGGCGCCTAGCTGCCATATCAACGGAAGGAGACACGAGAGCTGGGACAGTATCAGGTTGCTCAAGCCTAGACAGGAGCACTCGCGAAACTGAGGTTGGGTTCGGCAAACGAACATTCCCGTCTGTAAGCTGGTGTCATAACCACTATATTGAGCTCGGTTGCTACAACAAGATATCAGATTTTGACTTAGGAAAATACGGGTAGGTCTGCGTGAAGGGTTCTCACAATTCAGAGCAAAACAAAGGGTTTTAAAGTGCAAACAACTCAGTCACTGAAAGACTTAATTACGGGCTCCTAAAGGAAGTTTACGTTCTGGATCCTTATGTGAACGCCCGAAGAGTGAGGCGACAGACCACTATAGCGTAGGTACAGGTAAGTGACCACATGATTCAAGCAAGTTTGTCGAACGAGTCGCTGTGCCAAATAAAAAATCATCAAATGTTGGCATCCGCGGAGAAAACTAAAACTCGCACCGAAATGGGCGATCCAACACCTGAAATTCACCAGGTGGCGTAAAGACCAGATGTGGCACTTAGGAATTCGCCGCTTGGGGAATTTTAAAATAGCTCAACAGATCTCCCATCGATTTTCTCTCTCGCGATTGGACGCCTTAGGTGATCCGAATGTAAAGGCCAGACGTGGCACTTAGGAATTCGCCGCTCGGGAATTTTAAAATACCTCAACAGATTTCCCATCGATTTTCTCCCTCGCGATTGGACGCCTTAGGTGATCCGAAAGCCGCTTTGGCTGATTCTGCCGGGGCTGGCATTGTTCTTAGCCACCGAGCTGTATGGCTACCCGACAGTAGTCGCGCCTGTGAATTATGTTAGGCAACTTACGTGAGTGTAACCAATGAACATGCCGATAACCACTGTCTATTCATCGTATCTGCCCGCGCCCCAACAGAACGGAGCTCCGATACACTTAAAATAGGCTTTTACAACGCTCTGAGTGCCTTGTTGCATCGGCTTACGGCTCAGATATTGTTGTGGTTGCCAGAAATATGAATGAGCGAGTAGGCAGAGTTGGCCTCATTGAGGCTCAATTAGTCGTTCGTCAATAATCGAGACGTACGGAAAGCAGTGAATGCCAGCTGCGGAATATCGAAATGTGGGCACTTCTGATGTTTATGTTTGGCTACCCTCCTCCATGCCTCATTTTCTTTTTACCTTTGTAAGCTTTTATCCAAATAGATTGACATGGTAGTACGGCATTAGAGGACTGGCTTTCTGATGATGAGAATAAACCCGTCATTTCAAAGTGGTCTTCGAGTATCATGGAACGCTTGAAACGATCGGTCGTCAACAAATAGTGCATCTTTGGATAAGTTTAGATTCAGATACCACCGGAGGCAAACTTGCATTCATGTAGTGGAAAGACTAAAGATGCTAATCCGTTAACCGAAACGTAAATCTCGCCTTAGAAACGGCTTAATTCAACTCGAAATTTAGCACAATAGAAACAAACCTAAAAGTAGGGTGTTCTATCGTCTACTGGGTTTTTAATCACACAAGACCATGTACACAGATTTCGCCTCAATGATTTAAAAAGCTATGGGGTTTCTCTGGTAGCCACCAGACTAAAGAAAACCTGTTCGAAAACCTGTTCACAGGCATGCGAAAATACCGCTGATGCCAGTTTTTCAGCTTTCAATAAGCGCTTCGTGAGTACTTAGGTCGTTGAGCTAGTCAGTATTTGATTAGCAACTCGTGAGGTTTCGATCTGGGCAGTTTTTGTCCACGAAAACACTTTTGTAAACTTCATGATCTCTTGAGGTAACCAGTCTATATCTCAAGCATACGTCTAATCTTAAAAAAGTGACCGTCAAGCCCAGAGACTGGCAGGTTGTCCGGCGGCAATAGGTTGAAGCATCACCGAACGCACCTCAGCAGTTGGTGAAACAGTTGGCAAATATTAGATGAGATGACAAAGAAAACCGATTCTCACGCCTAAAGCACTTCGTCAGATGGCAAAATTTACCAAACTGATTTATATAGCCCCCTGACGAATAAGCTGAAACTGGTGACGAGAGTTTGTGAAGGTTGGTCAGTTATTCTATGAAAAACAGTGTACCAGGTGCGACTGGTCGAATCTGGCGTTCACGGAATTCCCGTAGTTGATATTTTCGGGAATATCTTATTAGGCAAACTCATAGGGCATTTGGTTCATGAAACGGACCCCATAGAACACAAAGTACATGCGTATGTTGTAGTCAATGCAACACACAACCGAAACCACGTGCAATTCCCTTCGAAAAAAGTGTTTTTCAGCCATCTCCCGAACACCACTGTATTTCCCACTTACTTCAATCCACACCCACCGCAAATACGTCTCGATGAAACGCATCTGCCTTTGTAGGTCTTGCAACTTTTAAAGGAGCAATGAAGTATAAGTACGAAGATTACCCTTGAAGACTTTCTCGAATGTTAAAAATCGATATTATCGATCAGAGACAAGGGTTCAATCTCGTGGTTATGCCACTATTTTACCAAATACACCAGGCGCAACCTAGCTCCATCATCCCAATGACGATCAGCTTAATGCAGGGTTTCCAACTAATAGCGAACATGAGAAAGTTAAGCCCAAAAGTTTTACCAAGCCTGAAAAGAGTGGCACATACTGAGTGTTGATATTCGTACCAGCCTGATCACATAATTGAGTCGAATAGCCTGAGACAGTCAAACTGGATAGCAGGGCCAAAAATTACTGTTGCAGAATCATTCAGTTCAACCGATCTTCATTAGGGTAATGATGCCAACCAGTGTGGCAAAAACAAGAGTACACCGACATCAGCAGCTGTTGGCATAACGAAAACAGCAGAACCTATATGTAAACGATCTTAAATGGCAAATATACAAAAGTGATAACATGCTAGAGTCTACAAGGGTTTCAGCAGAGCCTTGATGATTGACCTTAGCTGTGGGAAAAGCCAAGGTCGAGCTGATGCATATCCGGTTAGGACAAGTTGAATGTGTTCAGCGCCGAATTTAATCGTTTTTCCTCTCGTGACTTCGTGCACTGGCACCAATTCGTGAGGGAGAAATGTGTAGCAAACGGATTTTTCCCGTTTTTCGTTACACCCACCAAGTGTGTGGTTTCACAAGATCATCATCAGTGAAGCAGTTGCACACCTTTTAGGATCCAAAACAAATATCGGGTGTTATCGGGTGTACATCTGTCGGTTTTGAGAGAACCGATCGAGGATTGTCGATGTCTGGCTCTCAGAAACTTCTGAATTGGCTGCACTTCAGATATTTAATCTTCCAAGACTCGTACCGCAATCATACTCACGAACGAACCGATCAGAACTATCGCCACGATGGATCTGCGATTTTCTACAGGATTTGCGACAGTCGGATGGTCACCTTATTAGCTAACCCTCAGCAACCTTGTAGGCCCCCTTCTATTATCTTGTCTATCTTCTTTTTTATCCATCTGTTCTTTAAATCTGGCTACTGTTGATTATAAAGCTGTTTGGTCTAGCTTATGAGCTGATTAGCTTGTATAGTGATTATCCAACTTTTCTTTTCCAACGTTTCTGTACACTTAAGTTTCATTTGTGTGTAAGGCGGAGGCTATTTAATTTGACTATTAATCAATTAATAACTTCGTTATTATCGTTCACTCTCATTGTATTATGTGTACTGTGCATACCATGAGCCATACTATGTACCATATATAATATACGTAACGTATAATACAATATATAAAATACTGTGTACCGTTACGTAAAAATGTTGTTTACCAAAAGCCAATCTAAGTATGTATGGTTCTATCTCCACGCATCGATATCGGTTTGGGTCCCTCTTGTGATACGTCAAGAGAGGCTCAGATGGAAATGGCAAGGAAATGCATAATGGCCTGATTAACCGATCAGAACTATCGCCACGATGGATCTGCGATTTTCTACAGGATTTGGGACAGTCGGATGGTCACCTTATTAGCTAACCCTCAGCAACCCTGTAGGCCCCCTTCTATTATCTTGTCTATCTTCTTTTTTATCCATCTGTTCTTTAAATCTGGCTACTGTTGATTATAAAGCTGTTTGGTCTAGCTTATGAGCTGATTAGCTTGTATAATGATTATCCAACTTTTCTTTTCCAACGTTTCTGTACACTTAAGTTTCATTTGTGTGTAAGGCGGAGGCTATTTAATTTGACTATTAATCAATTAATAACTTCGTTATTATCGTTCACTCTCATTGTATTATGTGTACTGTGCATACCATGAGCCATACTATGTACCATATATAATATACGTAACGTATAATACAATATATAAAATACTGTGTACCGTTACGTAAAAATGCTGTTTACCAAGCCAATCTGAAGTATGCATGGTTCTATATCCATGCATCGGTATCGGTTTGGGTCCCTCTCGTGATACGTCAAGAGAGGCTCAGATGGAGATGGCAAGGAAATGCATAATGGCCTGATTAAAAACAGTAGGTCGAAGCAAAATGCAGCCCAGCCTTTATGTATTTGGACCACCAAGGTTGTAGAAGCTCTTCGGCAGAGCTGTCAGCCGAGATTAATGACCAGAAATAGTTAAGGTCTCTTCTTCTCAAACGGCTTATATGCATTTCAGTGGGCGAAAAGTGACATTTGCTCCAACCCCACAGCATTACCGTTAGAGGAATTGATTGTCCAGAGGTTTCATAAGGACAGCATAACTTGACGAAGGATGAAGAAAACTTGTTCCATCTAATTGTCCTATTTGAAACAATATAAGATTCGAAGAGTTTTCAGTAACCTAATGAGTAGTGTGTCACGTCCATACGTGATACACATCTGTTTCGGACTAGATGTCTGACCTAATCTAACGCTTCAAAAAACAAGTTTTAGTTTGTTCACTGAAGGTCAACTACATTCCTACTAGGAATATTAATCTAATGAGTATGATTTGTGAATATATTTGGAATCGTTGAGCACCTGAAATCCGTAACGTTATCAAGTAAGTGCTCTGATTAGGTTCAGAGCTCGAAACTGAATAATCAGCAACAAATTTGGAGTCTGATGGCGCAAAGTTTTCCTGTTCTATGAGAAAAATGACGAAAGAGTATGTGCAAAAAGGTAACCTATGAGGTAACTCATTAAAGATCACCACCATGGGTGGCTGGTAAGTAGCATGCTTGACTTTTATTCAAGCGCTTCGGCCTCCCGACTAGAAATACAGAGGTGTAATTCGGTTTAACTTCCAACTTACTGTCTGGGCGGTTTTCTGAATTTCTTTGGCGGAATTCAGCACACCGTTTTGCGTTTGTTCAATTCTTTGAGATAAACTACCTCGTGGGAGGGAACCATTGAGGCGTAATGAGGTCCCTTTCTGTATATCTGAAAATTAAATGTCAATAACATGTAAGTCAGCAAAGGAGTCTAATTATTCAGGTGGTAGACAATTGGTGTTGACGCCTCTTCCATAAAGTACCGATTGTATGCCTTTTTATTCTTTCAACTTAAAGCTGAAGCTGAGAAGTTTTAAGTGTTAGAATCAGTTTAATGCTATTTACGCGCGTTTTTGCTTTGCTGACATTCAGGATCAAAGGCGTATGTCCGGACGAAGGCCTCTAGTTGGACAACGTTTGTCACGACTAAATAAAGGTTTGATTAGAATTTTGGAGAATCTCAATTAAATGGACGGATTACATTGCTTCAGTACGAAAGGAATCCTGATGGTTACGTTGAATAAGAAGCTTTGCCTCATCATTTTGTCTCATATTTTTCGGTAGACACGCATTGATAGAAATGTTAGGGATAGAGTGGATGGAGCCGCAGTCAAATGAGTTGGGAAAGTATCTCCAATATAAAGTGTCATTTACTCGATTATTGTGCGAGCTGTCTTGGGTACTGTTTTAGCTGATTTGTTTTGGTCTAACTGTGAGAAAACTCACGTATGGAAAGGATTCGTGGTAAAATATCTTTGCTCCGTGTGAGTTAGACCTTGACGATCCAGTCAGGTCCTGATTGAGCGAAAAAAAATCGAGCTTAACATGATGCAACATCGATTATGTGTTTTGTTGTTAATGCGTACACCAGACGTTCAGCTGATAGTAGGCGATGACGATCAAGCCCTGGCTAAACGAAATAGATCGAGGTTAACATGGCGCAACATCGATTATGTGTCTTGTTGTTGCCGCATACACCAGACGTTCAGCTGATAGTAGGCGATGAGTTTGCTAAAGCAATCGAAACAACGTACCGGCCAACTTCCGGTTTTGTTATTCCATATTCAAAAGTTTCCTTCAAAATTATGATTGGAGACTTATGTGATTCGCACCGTTGTGCTACTCATTAATGACCTGTATTCACTTCACCCATGTATCGTGATCAGTTTTAATAACTAAGAACTAGAAATTCAGTCTTGGGATAGAATTCTCTGATTTCTAGACGCTTCGCAATTGTAATTTTAGGAGTTTTTCTCAGTAGTCACGTTACTCTTGGCGCGTGATTCAGTACGACGTGGCCAGTGGGGTGGCAGTTAAATAGACAAACGCCTAAAAGAATGAGGTTAGGAGGAAAACGCTCGGTTGAGATTTTAGAAGAACCCACGGTTGCTTGTATACAGTTTGACTCGGGGCGCTGTCGACATACATCAATCACTGTTGCCATGGAAGTGACTGTTGTACGAGACCGTTAATATTAAGGCTACTAGAGGTCAGCTCGGTGAGAATGAGCCGAACACTAAGTTTCGACTATATTGTAACTCAAATAAGCTGAAACCAAGGCACAACGACTAAATTCATGTCGCATCGCAATAAACAATATGACCTATGATGAAGCTGTCAACTTCATCTCTCTTTTATAAACATATTTTCCAGCACCATGGACAACTGCAATGAAAGCCACATCAAAGCATTCTGAATCTCTGTTTCAATCAACTAGGGATGCATAATGTTGTCTTTTGCTTCGAATTCCAAGGCAAAGAAGGGGAAATGAGGTTTAAGAACTTCAGCCCCCTTTCAAAATCCCTTGGTTACCCCAAATTTCTTTACACAGCTTGTTGTCCATGACCCTGACTAATCTTAGGATAGTGAAAAAAGCAGAACTCGCGTTCAATCCCCTTTACTCTCCTGCTTGAGCCAACAAGTTTCACCCCACACACTAGCTGGATAGGTATTTTTTTATTTCCATAGCTCTGTGGGATTCATATTTGTGTACTATTGATTTTGCCCCAAGACTTTTCTTCTGTTGGGTTCGAATTCATTTGGCGGCTGCTATAGCGTGCTAGCCCTGTAAGTCTCACGAGCACGAACCGCGGTTCTTTTGGGAAGTGGATCCTGCAACCGCTTGTTTGGTTTGGCTATGCTCTTCTATTCATTTTCTGTTCAGGTTTGTGCCAGCTGCTGTCTTGTACTAAACTTCCCGGATCATTGAAACGCACAAAAAAGGGCACGCTCACCACGAGGATATCGGTCAGGAATTCGTTTCCCAAGTGAACTGCTCGTTTGCGAACCCTTTGGGATATGAACTTGATGTAATTCGGTGTTGGCATAAGGCCCAATGGAAATTTGCCTATCTATCAAAAAAGAAGCAGTGAGAACTTTACTCGCTAAAACGTACCTGAGTGAAATGTGGTGTCGGAAGACAGAAGAAAAAACAAGGAATGGTTCGCAATTACCGTACTTCAGTGCGGTAAAACCTTTCGAAAGAAATGGCACCGGTCTAGCCTGGCAGTTGTATACATACTGTCACGTCGCAGATCTCACTACGTCGTACAATGTCTTAAAATGCATCGCCGGACAGAATCTGAGGGGATCTTTCGACACAACATGTAACAGGAAACTCCATGAAGTGTCTTTTATCAGATATTCTTCACAGGCTACGGAGTCCTCGGCTATCAAGGCAACTTCCATCCTCCCAGTGGCTCGGATGACTGGAAAGCAATCGCGAAGACTCCATTTCGAGATGAACGATTTTTGTAAGTGTTCTCTGTGCCTAAGGGTTACTGAGCATGTGCGACCCTCCAAGCATTCTGGCCGACTGAACCCTGTGATTAGCGAGGCTCAACTTCCGGGTCAAAGTGTCTCTCAAATCCCGGGATGTGAAGACTTCTGGATGTTGAGAATCGGGCTATTATTATGAGCTCTGTACGATTGTAAGTTCCAGGCAACCTAGTGTTGAAAACTCTGAGGACTTGTATAGTTGCTAGTGACTAGGCTGCCCACAGTGAGTAGTGTGATGACTCAAGGTGTCTTATATTTACAAATTTCGGTTGCGGCCTGTGCAAAATACGTGACAGGCATTTTACCGCGGTTCTTTTGGGAAGTGGATCCTGCAACCGCTTGTTTGGTTTGGCTATCCTCTTCTATTCATTTTCTGTTCAGGTTTGTGCCAGCTGCTGTCTTGTACTAAACTTCCCGGATCATTGAAGCGCACAAAAAAGGGCACGCTCACCACGAGGATATCGGTCAGGAATTCGTTTCCCAAGTGAACTGCTCGTTTGCGAACCCTTTGGGATATGAACTTGATGTAATTCGGTGTTGGCATGAGGCCCAATGAAAATTTGCCTATCTATCAAAAAAGAAGCAGTGAGAACTTTACTCGCTAAAACGTACCTGAGTGAAATGTGGTGTCGGAAGACAGAAGAAAAAACAAGGAATGGTTCGCAATTACCGTACTTCAGTGCGGTAAAACCTTTCGAAAGAAATGGCACCGGTCTAGCCTGGCAGTTGTATACATACTGTCACGTCGCAGATCTCACTACGTCGTACAATGTCTTAAAATGCATCGCCGGACAGAATCTGAGGGGACCTTTCGACACAACATGTAACAGGAAACTCCATGAAGTGTCTTTTATCAGATATTCTTCACAGGCTACGGAGTCCTCGGCTATCAAGGCAACTTCCATCCTCCCAGTGGCTCGGATGACTGGAAAGCAATCGCGAAGACTCCATTTCGAGATGAACGATTTTTGTAAGTGTTCTCTGTGCCTAAGGGTTACTGAGCATGTGCGACCCTCCAAGCATTCTGGCCGACTGAACCCTGTGATTAGCGAGGCTCAACTTCCGGGTCAAAGTGTCTCTCAAATCCCGGGATGTGAAGACTTCTGGATGTTGAGAATCGGGCTATTATTATGAGCTCTGTACGATTGTAAGTTCCAGGCAACCTAGTGTTGAAAACTCTGAGGACTTGTACAAAGTATTCGCCAAACTGGAACACTTCCAAATTTAACATCAGAAAGCGTTACTGCTAGCCGAAAGGACCCAAAAGCTTGCTATTTCCTCTTATTGTCGTAGCCTCATACGCACTGATAATGGTTACGAGTTGTTTGGCACGTTCCAAGCAGCTGTCAACGAACTACCTAGGCACTGCGCACCAATAGTTGCCAGTGACTAGGCTGCCCACACTGAGTAGCGTGATGACTCAATGTGTCTTATATTTACAACTTTCGGTTGTGGCCTGTGCAAAATACGTGACAGGCATTTTTTCGATGTCTGGACGATGGATACCTGACAAAATTTGTGTGCATTGCTATTGGAGTCAACTGTGGCCCGATCACATTGGTACTTTAAAACTTTCCATCCAGCAAATATTAAGAGACCTTCAACAAAGTCACGCAACTGAGAAATTCTAATATTTCTAGCTTTTTTGGACCTTTGGACCATGCACCCTTTAACAGAGAGGTGTTTGGACCAAGACAAAAAGCGGACAGTCATACTTTTTGACGAAGATCACTGATTTTAATTTCCATGACCTGTATTTCAGGCGGGAAATAAAACAGAACAGACGAGATTTTTACGCAGGAAATCTAACTCCAACCGACATTTTTATGTTTACGGGAATTTCCACTCCAGATTCATCGCCACCTAAACTAAAGTATTCGTGCGGCATTTGCCTGGTTGCTCGTATGCTTTTAGTCGAAAAAAACAGCCTCCTTCGGAGTTCGTTGGCAGATATTTTTGTCCATGTTCACCCGCGTTAGTTGATTCCTTTGAAGAGAGGAGCCCATGGAAATGGATTTCGAGGTCTGGTCGCTATAGAATGACTTTACATTAGTTCAAAGCTGAGGTCGAATTTAAATGCGATTTGGTCAGAACAGTTACTGTTCCTCTATAAAGGACTGTTCCCACAGCATTTCCGTCAACCTGATCGTATGGGTAGTCATCCATAGTCAGGTGACGGGGTCAACCATAGTGTTCACAAACCTTGAAGAAGCTACAAATACACCCGTAGAACTCATCATACATAGTATGAACTATCGAGACCATGGTTCCACAAACAAGATCATTCTTCTTATTAATTATGAAGTCAAAACACAGTGTAGTGGAAGAGGTTGTTATAAACCGGCATTTCGGTTGCCGTGGGCGACCACTCTCAACGATTTCTACAATCAACTGAATACGAGTCAAAGCAGCGACATTTGGTTCCGTCACCGTGTGTTGTGATTTATGCATCAATGTGCATCCTTGCATCAACCGGAGTGGTGATGCCAGCATCCCATTCATCTGGATTGGACTTACTGCATACCTTAGAGCCGTAGTAACCAAATGTCAAGCAAGGATCTCAAAAATGACGCATCACAACCGGCACAACAACAAACGGAAGCACAACCTAGTCAGAGTGCACACCAATCACACGTACGCACATACCCACGCACGCTGACCAAATCTGACTGCCAAATGATCACAGAGATGCACCAACCGTAAGACACGATAGCGGACCCAAATGTCGCTGCATTTTGCTCATATTCAGCTGATTGTAGAAATCCTTGAGAATGGTCGACCAAGGCAACCGAAACGTCGGATTACAACAACCTATTCCACCATTGTCTTTTGACTTTATAATTAATAAAAATTCCTTATCATACATCACATGGCACTGAATATTTTCAACAGTCTTTGAGCTGATTTAGGCCCGGAACTCCTCAAAATAAATCTTGTCCCAATTCAATAACGAACAGATTCTCATACATCCAAGCTGTAAGCTAAATGCACATTTGAGGGAAATCCCAGTCCAAGGGGGTAATCGGTATAGTTGACAGATGGAGTCGAAGTGTTTTATCATCACATCTCAAAGTGCTCAAGTCATGGAAAGATTTTGGAGACGATATAATTACTGCATATTTCCCTAAATTTATAGTAATTCACTTGACTGCTTATTTTGTGTTCTTGCAAATAGTTTGGATATATCATCGTTTGAATTAACATCACTTTTGAGTAAACGGTCGTTCTCATGTCCATGCCAAAAGGAAGAAGCGCGGACTCAAGTTTCGCGCTTATCACAGTTCTTCCCTGGTCGCACCGGGTTTCTAACTTTGTTTATCTAATCAATCCATTTACTACCAAAAAATTTGGCCAACAGGAAAATTGACAGCACAGACGTCTAGCATATTAGACGTCAGGAGTCTCGAACCCGGTGCGACCGCGGATAAGCTCCAAAAGGAGGGATAGTTTGGCACATTGCTTTGGTTCGGACTCACCAGAATCATTGCTCAAGGATGAGAGTAGACCTGCTCAAAAAAGTGATAGGGCTGTAAATTCTCCGACTAATCAAGACCACTTCAACGCGTTGTTTTAACTCAGTATTCAGTGTGTTGAAAAATCAACCTTTCATCAAACCTTTGGGCGGCATTTCCCGTATCAGTTATGCCGAGAAAACCCAAGCTTAAAATATTCAGGATTTAGGTAGGAAAATGAGGCCATACATGAAAGAGAGCCTTCTACTACATCATTGCAGTAAGCGGCTACGCTTCCCCATCTTAAAAGGACTTAGTTATTCTGTTTCGGCATTACATTCATTTGTACTACGAAGTATCTTTGAAATCCTGTTAAGGGAATAGTTTTGAAAAGTAAATTACTTACCTGACGAAGAGACGTTTATGCTTGTCTCAACACGACCATGCACATTCCACGCACGACATGTATAGGTAGCCGCATCTTCTGCCATTGGACTGTTTATCCGCAAAAACAACTTTCGCAGATAACCTATGGACATCGGAGCTTTGGCGTCCCGATCTGGTGAGGAAACAACTGTGAACTTGCGCGAGAATGAACTCAGACATAAATCCTGTTTATCATCTTCGTTGGTCAGTAGTGGCATGATGACCACAGGAATGGGAGTATTGTTCCGATAAAATAAACAACGGGGAGCTGGGTTACTGGCTACGGTACACATTAGTTCCAGGCAGCGTGTTTTCCGAGCTTCGGTGGGGGGCACAATCGCCAAGGGCTGAGTGAAATCGGGGGAGTGCTTGGGGTGAATGGGCCATTTGGAGGCGGCTGAAGTAGGGAGATGATTGAAAATATGAAGGAGACTTAAATCAGAGGTACATCAACAGGACGTTTGCAACAACATTTGGTTATTGGGAAATATTCAAGTTTTAAAGCATCTATTCTCAAGTGAGTTTATCCGACAAACTATCCTATAAATAGTCGGCGCCTCTGACAGGAAACTTTATAACTCATCGATTTACTATGGGGGGATACTGTGTGGTAATTGATGGTTTTATGGAAAAGTTAAGTATAATAATACCGTTAAACAACACAAGCTGACTGCAATAACAAAAGGTCTTTTCTGGAGGTAGATTAAAATTTCAGGGTGAAAATAATCGCTACATTTTCCTGGACGAAAAGATACTTGCTCAGCCATTTTCACGCCTACACTTTAATGCTGTTTTCTTGTGTCAAATATTGTAACGTAACAAGACAGGTTACAAAATGCAGTAGGTATGGTTTTCCCTCGCCTCACGGCCACGATGAGACAGAGTAATGATGTTATGTTCGGGATAATGTTGCCTAGGCAACGAAAATTACTTCGGATGTTACGTTTACGGCGTGTCAAGTTCGCATGTTTTTTTGCGGGGATGGTTCAGTGCTGTGTGAAGCTTTCTCGTCTCGTATTCGCTCATCGGTGGTTTCACTTCTTCCGTAGGTTCACTTATGTGTTCGTATGAAGATTTACGGATCTGGATGTGTGTGGGGTTAAACTTTGGCCAGAATTTCCTTCCCTATCAGTTCACAGAAAATGTGACAGCAAAACCGCAACCACGAAATACGAAGGATTTAAATTCCATCTTATAAAAAAAATCAAGGCATTCTGTGCATTAACAGACTTCCTGAAATGGCTTACAATTGTCGGACACTTAAAGAAAGCAGACTTAACTCTCAAGTTATTTTAGACATGAGGGGATCTGTACGAAAACTTTGAGCTAAAAGACAAGGCAAAACAATCACAGTGTGGCACTGAGCGCATCAGGATATTTTGTTCTTTCCTTGTGAGATACTTATACAACGTGAGGTTCACGTTAAAAACACTTCAGCGCTTTTCTCAGTTGAGGTCAGACATACTAATAGTGTAATGTCGAAGGCTGATACAAATGTTTAAGGGAACTAAGGTGATTAGACTACCTATTATGGAAACTATTCTCCCTGTGTATGCAGGCTACTCACGTTGGACGGTGAGAAGATACTGGGCTTCAGTCACAGCGAAAGTTCCACTTCCAGCTGGAGTTCGAGCCACGGCAAAATACTTTCCCGTGTCCTCTAGTTTTGCAGCCCAGAATATGAGCTGGTGCTGAACCACAACTCCATATGGAGCACGTTTCTCTTTGAGCAGTTTATTGGTTTTCAGCAGTCGCTCAGTGGCCTCTGCACCGAAATGGCCCGAATTGGATAGGACGAAATAATCCTGACCTTCAGGATCTGAAGTTCCCGTGATCACGTGCTCACAGTGGAAGTCACATTTGACCTGAGTTCGTTTTCCAGAATCATTTTCCTTTAACCAGCTGAACTCTGAATGAAGAGGAAACAGACGGGAGGGGGTGGAGTTGAGTAAATGTAATTAAAAGCTGCGTCTACTGGTTCGTTTACAAGTAGCCAAGAAATTGTCAGAAAGTTCCTGACGGAAACCCCGCACAGATCTTCCTGACTATTGGGTAATCATGTCTTTTTGGTCCCTGGTACGACACCGATATCCAATCTTTGTTGCGCCAAAAACTATTGGACGTAATCAGCCCGGAATTCACATTAGAGCAAAGTTGAACTGAACAAGTTGAACTTTGCCTCCACGTGACACTATCCATAAGATCGATGAAACTTCGAAAGTTTTGCCACCACCTCGGCACTACTCCCTATTTTAGTTTCGTTAAGCTCTTGAATTCCAAATGAAATCTAGGGTATACGTGTTTTCGTCGACAAACTAACTGCCAATTAAGTTGCCTTTGGCGGGAAGTTCAAATGGTATTGGTGGCACCTGTCGTCTGCAGCTGTATAAATACGATGTGTTCCAATTTTTTGAATTTACTGGCGTTCACTGCTAAGCACACGTCAACGCGTTCTGTAACTGATCTGACTTTTGGTGAATATACACTCATTTGCAAAGTAATTTGGTTCTTTCGAGAGACTCACCTGGAACCCAGCTGAATCTCTCGTTTTTGATGTTCTCAGGCAACTGAATGGCTGCACCAGGCCGCCTCATGTTTCAGTCGCTACGATATTTGAAACAACGCGATACATGTATAGCTTTGTAATGTACTACTCATAAGGTTGCTGAAAATCCATCGACAGCATACGACCGGTTTCGTCCTTCTTGAGGCTCATCAGGTAGGCGCAGTCCCCGATTTTCCGTCAACCTTATGTTCTACTTGAGAACATCATAAACGAGAGATTCAGCTGGGTTCCAGGTGAGTCTCTCGAAAGAACCAAATTACTTTGCAAATGAGTGTATATTCACCAAAAGTCAGATCAGTTACAGAACGCGTTGACGTGTGCTTAGCAGTGAACGCCAGTAAATTCAAAAAATTGGAACACATCGTATTTATACAGCTGCAGACGACAGGTGCCACCAATACCATTTGAACTTCCCGCCAAAGGCAACTTAATTGGCAGTTAGTTTGTCGACGAAAACACGTATACCCTAGATTTCATTTGGAATTCAAGAGCTTAACGAAACTAAAATAGGGAGTAGTGCCGAGGTGGTGGCAAAACTTTCGAAGTTTCATCGATCTTATGGATAGTGTCACGTGGAGGCAAAGTTCAACTTGTTCAGTTCAACTTTGCTCTAATGTGAATTCCGGGCTGATTACGTCCAATAGTTTTTGGCGCAACAAAGATTGGATATCGGTGTCGTACCAGGGACCAAAAAGACATGATTACCCAATAGTCAGGAAGATCTGTGCGGGGTTTCCGTCAGGAACTTTCTGACAATTTCTTGGCTACTTGTAAACGAACCAGTAGACGCAGCTTTTAATTACATTTACTCAACTCCACCCCCTCCCGTCTGTTTCCTCTTCATTCAGAGTTCAGCTGGTTAAAGGAAAATGATTCTGGAAAACGAACTCAGGTCAAATGTGACTTCCACTGTGAGCACGTGATCACGGGAACTTCAGATCCTGAAGGTCAGGATTATTTCGTCCTATCCAATTCGGGCCATTTCGGTGCAGAGGCCACTGAGCGACTGCTGAAAACCAATAAACTGCTCAAAGAGAAACGTGCTCCATATGGAGTTGTGGTTCAGCACCAGCTCATATTCTGGGCTGCAAAACTAGAGGACACGGGAAAGTATTTTGCCGTGGCTCGAACTCCAGCTGGAAGTGGAACTTTCGCTGTGACTGAAGCCCAGTATCTTCTCACCGTCCAACGTGAGTAGCCTGCATACACAGGGAGAATAGTTTCCATAATAGGTAGTCTAATCACCTTAGTTCCCTTAAACATTTGTATCAGCCTTCGACATTACACTATTAGTATGTCTGACCTCAACTGAGAAAAGCGCTGAAGTGTTTTTAACGTGAACCTCACGTTGTATAAGTATCTCACAAGGAAAGAACAAAATATCCTGATGCGCTCAGTGCCACACTGTGATTGTTTTGCCTTGTCTTTTAGCTCAAAGTTTTCGTACAGATCCCCTCATGTCTAAAATAACACCAAATTGCACAAAATTAGTGAATATACACTCATTTGCAAACCAATTTGGTTGTTTCGAGAGACTCACCTGGAACTCAAGTAGAACATAAGGTTGACGGAAACCCGGGGACTGCGCCTACCTGATGAGTCCCAAGAAAAGCGAAACCGATCGTGGGCTGTCGGTGGATTTTCAACAACATTACAATGATCTGACATTTGTTACAGAATTAGAAGACGAATTATGGATGTATACGTCGATACACACGAAATTTCGCTCACTATGAAACAAATCCATGAAAGTTCCCATGTAAGCGGCTCAAGCCAGTTCACATTTTACCTCAAATCGTGTTTTTTCGTCCATTTACATTTTCTCAACTTGATTAAAAAAGGGGCGGGAAAAACCAAACACCCGTAGTTTTATTCTACTGGGTAGGGCCTTCACAAACCATGCACACATGCAGTTTGTCACAAAGCTATGCCAAAATTTAGCAACTCGTTAACCTCCCTTCGGAAGAACACTCTTCCAAAGCTACCAGAAATTGTTTGTTGGTCTGTTCACCGAGCTTGGCGATTTATGTGACGTCATCAGCGCGGGTTTGAGTACGCAAATTTCTGAGCGTCTGTCTGCGCTTGTATAATTTTATAAAAGGGATATCTAACAACCCTGAAGTGCTTAGTCGGTCTGAAGGTGATATGACGTCCAAATACTTGCTCACGAGAGAACTAAATGTGGACGGAAGTATGCCGGTACCCCACAAATGACCAATAAACCCGTCAACATCGAACCGGTCTACTGTATTGCCCAGCACCACATAGGACATCAAACTACCTGAAAACAAACAACGGATCAGTGAATCTAAAGAAAGAAAGCTACCAAAATTTAAGGTCTGTCCAATCAAACAACCAAGTCGATCAAAAAGCAGATCACAAAACAAGAAGAAAACGACCTAATCATAACGAAGGAACCGAGATGTCGAAATGAAGGCATCCAACATACACAAGGCAATGAGATTGTTACACAACACAGGCTCTGAATGAACCAACCGAACCACGCGAAAACCATCTCAGAACTAACCAATCATCTCAGAGTTATTAGCTATTGTCTAGAAACTGCACAGACACAGACAGAAGAGAACGGATTCGTTAAGTGACCCCAGTAATGACGATGTCACCTTGATTGATAATAAACAGCTCGCGATCCAGCTTGGCGAGCAATATAACAACCATGTGACGCATCCTAGGTACCTATACTCCGCATTGTCACCATACCAGAACTATTACCGCACTAGTAGACCTGTCCAACAAGGCAACTGGTGTTTAAGATTGCCTACAACCACATCTACACCTCTGCATCCATGCAGGTGCGTCATTTAACGTCTGTTGTATCGAACAAGTTACCCTCTGTCGTTGGAGTGATTTTGACCAGCAAGGTGATACTTGCTTTTTATGCATTATCATTTGTAACTAATTATTCACATGCGACAAAAGCCTGTCATCCGAAGTCTTTCTATCTGTCCCACGCCGGAAAGCTGGACTACGTGAGCGGTGTCGTAGAGGGTTGATTCCTATAAGTGAATCGAACTAGACGCAGCTGAGTAAAACCTCTATGCGCTTGTATGAAACGAGAATACAACGGATGGATATGTGTCTGAGAATCATGCCCCACGCATGGGACCCAGGAATTTTTTCATTCGGACTCAAGTACCAACAACCATCGGAACAGCTCCACTAAGCTCGGGGGTTCACAAGTGAAGGCGGTCATCTTTTTAGTTTCTAACCACAAATTGCCAGTTGTCAGTCCTGATAAGCCAACTGTGATAGCTAATCAAACACAAAAGGTCCTCTTCAACCCTCTCATACACGATGCGGTGAAACAAGGTAGTTTTTGGAATCGCCGGAAGTAGATGTAAACAGGATTTATCAGGTTTTGATGAGACGTATGTTTTACCGGAATAAATGCCTCAGCTGCTGGGGATCCCAGTACACATATAGATAGTGCTTATAATGCTATTACAAAGTATTTTTGTTCATAGCCACGCCACTCTCGTTTGAACGGCCGTGTTCCTGTTCTGGCGTAATTATTCCGGTGAGTCCACACCAAAGGGACTCGAGTTTCGCTCTTATTAGCGCTCATCAGCAGTGCATATCCAATGGCCGTGACAGGATTTAAACCCCGGACATCTGACATGCGAGGCGAGAGTGTGACCACTACTCCACCAACGCACATTGGACGCATCTGAACAGGCGAACGTGTTCATATTTGAGCGATGTGATTGGTGTGCCCGACTCATCGAACGACGACCCGGTAACTGTCCTGGTTGTGGCGATCGATTGACCCACCAGTCAGGACTTCCCAGTCAGGTAGCGTGGCACATGCTTGAAACCCNTTCGAGCTCCAGCGAACAAACAGTATCCTTGAGAACTTACGTTTAAGCCTTCCCTAGTATACAGTATACGATTCTAAACTCGGGTCCTGATGTCTTATTGGTCTCTCTTCCTTATATTCGCTACGGAAACATTTTTTGGTTTAATAGTCATTGGTATCAGCAAATTGCTGAGTGACGGAGAGATCGCAAATTTAGTTCGGTCGATTCTTACTGTGGTTTTCTGCCATACATATGAGTTCACTCTTTACGTTAGTAGCAGATCAGTGGTCACGTGTAATTAAGTTGAATGTCTTCAGACTCGTCACGTGATACAGTCAGCCATTGGATTAATGAGATCCAGTCAGGAGACAAATAGTGAGATCTGTCACTGCTTCCTTTCTCTTTATGTAGTTGTAAAGCTGGTTTCTGTCATAGCTCAGTGATTTCTGTCTGTATTCATGATAACCTCATAAAACCTATAGGATGTCAATTATTCACTGCATTTTTTACGTGTGCTGTATGTGT